CCACGTGAAACTGTTTGAGAATGGATAGGAACTTAGGTGGGCATCCCAGCCTGGCTAAAGTCCTTCACAAACCATTGTGATTGACTGTGTTGAAAGCCTTGGTGAGGTCCACAAATGCAGCGTATAGGTTTAGGTTCTGCTCTTTGCATTTTTCTTGTAGTTGTCACAGATCATATCTGATGTACCTCTACCGGCTCTGAAACCTCATTGGCTCTCAGATAACACCTCATTTACTTAAGAGTGGGTTATTTGGTCAAGTAATACTCATGTAAAGATCTGTCCTGCTACTGACAGAAGTGTAGTTGGAGCTGTTAGACTTGTCACCCTTTTTGTATAGTGATCTGATTACGGAATCTCAAAGTTCAGGTGGGACCACGCACTTCTCCCAGGATAGAGCAAACAAGTCTGTTAACCTCTAGGTTAGGGCAACACCACCCATTTTAAATATTTCACCCAGAAGCCCATCAGAGCCAGGTGCTTTGTGATTTTTGAATTTATGAATTGCTGTTTCCACTTCCTCAAATGTCAGTGGTTCATCAAGCTCCTCTCTCATTATTTCCTGAGGGACATTTGCCAGCGATTCCTCTGATATTTGCCTTTTATCACCAAATAACAGGCTGTAGAGTTCTGTCCAGTGATTAAGTATGTCCGCCTTGCTAGTTAATAGGGTAGAGCCATCGTAGGATCTTAGCGGCGCTGTAGTTTGGTAAGTTGGGCCATAGGCACATTAGAGCAACTCATAGAAAGAACGTGTATCACCAGTGTCAGCATGTCTCTCCATGTTTACGGACAGCTCAAGCCACCAATTATTTCTTAGTTCCCTGACCTTTATCTGCAGAGTGTGACAAGAAGCTTTGTAGACCGTTCTGGCTGCATTGTCATTAGGGTTTGCAAGAACAGAGCAATAGTATTTGTGCTTATTCTTTAACAGTTCTTGAATTGCGGTATTGTTCTCATCAAACCAGTCTCTATTGGGTTTACTGCAGTATCCCACGACTTTGACTGACACGTCCTGAAGTATGGTTTTTAAATGGCTCCAGTTACTCACTGGATCATCGTCCTGGAGCTTTTGGAGATCAGCCTCAAGTAGTACTCTGAAGCGCTCTTGTACGTCAGCCAGCCTATCAACATTTAGCTTCTTTGCCCTAGGCAAACCACAATTTTTTATGATCTTGATGGTGATGTTCAGCTATAGAGAAAAGTAGCTGACAGCAGATGGTCTCTAAAAGAAACAATTGGTGAGCTCTCATGAAGGCCACAGGACACACATTTGAGGCTCAAAGAAAGGCCATTGTGTAAGACAGGTGCAGAAGATGTGGAAAAATACGCAGGTCACAACCAGATTTGCATGATGAAGTGCAATCTTCAGGCTCAAAGACATTGTCATTATTACTATTATGATGCATTCATTTTTAAATCTGGCTGTCAATGAAGAAAACATTTTTTAACCCATAATTTAGCTAACTGTATTACTCCAAATTAAACTGTCATGCTTAAAACTTGTTACCTTTTTGTTGCTAGGTCTTTTCTTTGAACCAACTGTATTCACTAATGTTGAGGATCATATGATGATTGCTAAAGAGGAGTCTTTTGGTCCAGTCATGATCATCTCAAAGTTTATTGATGGGTCAATTTTTTTTTTAATTTGAAAATTAACATAGGTCAAATAATGAAAAGGATTATTTAAGATTTTTATTGTTGGTCTATGAATGCTCTATTTAGCAAGAATTCTATCAGCTATTATAATGTTAATCTTTAAAAAAAACAGTACCGGTAACACTAATACTTTTATTCATACTGTTTTCAAATTGCAATAACTAGAAATTAATGTATGCATTATGGAATAAGGAAAGTGAGTAGAAAAATATTGAACAACTGACTTAAGCCTAACTCAGTGTTTTCCACCAAAAGAATTTAAAGAAAAAATATTACCCTTGCACTCTCCTTGTTATCATGTCCATCCCCATAGGTTCAGAGTGGCTAACCCTAGCAGTTGAGAAATTTAGATCCACTTATCAATTTGTAAAGTTGACAATTGCAAGTTATAAAATTGCTCCTAAAGAAAAAGGTTACTCCAAATGTCATAATATCTTTACATATTGGAATATATGCCAGTCTAAACATTTGGAAGAGAGTCAATTTAATATATATAGACTAAATTTTGAACTGTGTTATATCAAGATATATTAAAAATATATTTGCCATTGTTCTAAATGATAAATAATTATTTCTTTATTATTAGGGATGTGAATGGAGTTCTTCAAAGTGCTAACAATACAGAATTTGGCTTGGCTTCTGGTGTTTTCACTCAAGATATTGACAAAGCTATGCGAGTAGCAGATAGTTTAGATGCTGGCACTGTATTTATTAACACCTATAATAAAACTGATGTAGCTGCACCATTCGGTGGATTCAAACAATCAGGATTTGGGAAAGATTTAGGTAATTTTTAATTACCAACGGCATCTACATTTTATTTAGATCTACTGTGCAATGTTGTCTGTAGTTTTAAAGATGTGAATCTTGTGGGGTTGGATTATGTTTCTTTTGTTAATGTTAATTTAAGTGATAACTTTAAGCTTCCTATGATGGGATAATAAAAGCATTTATTGTTAAAGTATAAAATATCTAAGGTAGATATTAATGTATAGATAAGAAACTTTAATTATAGCCTAAGTATTCCAGATTGAGAGATTTACATAAATAATCATTATAAGTATTTTTTTATTTAAATGATAATTATTTCAAATATTTATAAAATACCTTGTTGAAACCTTTATATAAGTCAATGTGACAAATTTCATTTGCTCATTCAAGAAAAACTAGTGGCTGGTGTTAGGATAGAGCTCAAAATATAACCTTGATGGCATATGTCCTAATTAAGCTGGTCAATGAAAAATACAATCCAGTTGCAGAAAGTAAAACTAATTGAGCATTGAAATGCTCACAAAAAAAAAGTCTTTTGTTTAGTCAAACGTTTCACTCATCTCGCCTACACTCTTGATGAATATTTAAGTGATTCTTTTTTATTTTTGGATTAGTCCGTTATATGTAAATAACTTAAAATTATTGAATACTTTATGGCGTTTTTGTTTTCAAAACACTTTTTAAAAAAAATGCATTTTGTAATCTATATTTGTGTTTTTCTACAGGTGAGGAGGCACTAAATGAATATCTTAAAACAAAAACAGTGACGCTAGAATACAAGTAATGGAAGGGCTTAAATGAAAATAATTTTTGTTTTCTGAATGTAGAAATATGTTCATTATATTATTATGATCGCAAAATTTCATTTTGAAATAATGCAAACTAAAATGTCAAAAAGTATTGGTACATTTTAAGATGCTCAACATATATTCTATGTATACAATACTAGCAATTGCAAAAATGTTTGGTGCTTGATATTAGAGTTGGTTGAAAAATATGCTAATGTTTTTATGCTAATTTTATTGTTTTAATGAAATGTTTCAATTGTAATATTCTTAAGAAAAGAAAAGGCTATTGTTGAGCTTATTTCACTTTATTTTCTATGCAGACTATTTGTTCTGATTTTATTTGTATTAATGTACTGGATGAGTTTGTTTTGTTTTAAAAGAGAGAGCAAAAGAATATTTTATATAGTGGTAGATCATTTGTTGACTTCATTTATATTTTTGAAAAGTGATTTAGAAGATGCTCAAAATTGTTAATATGACTGTCAACTATATACAACAGTAGAATTCAAATAATATATAGTTAGGAAATTTTGTTGGCAAGCCAAATCTCATGCACAATTTAGATGCTTAATATTGATCCTAATTAACTAATTAAAATTAGCAAATGTGTATCAGTATAAAAGTGTCTTCTTCTTCTCACCAGCTTTATTTCTGCTGAGTAAAAGTGTCTTAAAAAGTGATTGGTCAATGGTGATCTCCTGATATTATATAAAGTTTAGTCTTTATGTAGCAGCACTTTTTACTTCCAATTAGCCCACTTCACAAAAGTTAATAATTTAATAACTAGGCTTGCTGTAATTTGTATGTAGCTTCATATGTTAAATCTAATTAATTTACATAATAAATGTCCATACTTGTCATATACATATATAAATTTAGAAATGAATATGATCAAAACTCAGTTTTGGGGATAATTGAGTAAAACTTAACAAATGTAAACTTAAATTGGGAATGCCTAATATTTGAAATCTATAAGCATATTTAAAGGGTTTGCCTTATGTTCTAGTTATGAAGGTCTAAATGTCTAAACATAATTTTTTTTCCCTTTTATAGTCTCATGATGCTCTCAAAAAATGTACTTTTCTTGAATAAAAAATGCTTGTATTGCTTCAAATAATTCTTGAACACAAAATATTAATGGGCATCAAGAAGAGCTAAATACTTTTATTCTGTACACTGCTTTACTAAAACAAATATAGAAATAAATAAATTATAGCTTTCACGCTATCTCATTTGTGGACCAGTGGGGGGAGAAGGTGTCTAGGAGAAGGTTTTCTGTGCTGCCTTTAGGCGCTCAGTAAACACAACTCTGTTTGAGTTGGGTGTCAAACCTCAAGCCCCCTTCATATGTAACCAAGACAAGCCAAGTTCAAGCGTACCTAGCCTCTCAACCACACTTCTCACTACTACTACTACTACTATGGCTACATTTTTTTTTTAAAATTGTTTTGTATACAATTTTATTAACTATTGCTGCTTTAATTATTATTATTATTATTTTCCCATTCTGTTGCCTAGTAAACTCTTATTGAAAAAAAAAAAATTCCCATTAGAGCATAGGTCTGCAAAAGTAGACCTACTCCCCCAATGGACTTTGTTTTTGGGTGATTCCCCTCAGCTGAGCCATGTCCATCCTGCCATCTTTGCTTCTTGTTCTACAGATCTCCTCCATGTTTGCTTTTGGTCTCCCACTCTTTCTATTCCCCAAGTATTATGTTTCATTGGTTTCATTGCATGTCAATGTTATTCTTTTGGTCTCCCACTCTTTCTATTCCCCTAGTATTATGTTTCATTGGTTTCATTGCATGTCCATGTTATTCTTTTTGGTTTTTCATTCTAGTCACAATTACCTTAATAGCTGATAAATCAGTTTTAAGAAACAACAACTCCAAATCTGGATCTCCAAATATTGTGATTTTTTTGTGATCATGGTCAATTTATATGTTGTTTTTGGGAACATGGTTTGTGTGATAAAGTAGGCCTACTGTTAATTAAATCAGAATATCATTTATGTGCCATACAAACACATTTTAATAGCAATTGTAATGTTCTTTTCACATTGTTTCAGTCTGACAAACTAACTGTAACTGTCATTTTGTCCACATAATTAACATGTATGAAAAGTGTTTTTTTCAACACATAATGAAATAAATTGTTAAGCAAATATCAATTTTTTTAGTCTCTTTTAGTAATTTAATTCAGTGTAAGCTTTAGATATATTTATTTGGCTGATTTCCTAGTATTGGAATTACAAAGATCTAAAAAAAAATAATTTGTTCTGAGGCTCAGAAGTGTCACTGTAAAAATTATATTGAAATTAGAGATTCATAATCATACTCATAGAGCTACGTAGGGTTATTAATGTATATATTTATATTTAATAATCATATGTCATGGACCTGTGTAGATGTACAAAACAAATACTTTCAGCAAAAAATTAAAACTTTCAAAGAGTGTGTAAACCTAAGGTCTGGTATCAACTATTCTCCCAACATATTACTATAGCTATAGTCTACTGCAGTCAATCAACAAAAAGACATTGGGACAACAGAGACCTTGGCGAAGCTCCAATATTAGAGTCAGAGGTAGGTGATGCAATAAGTCGATGCTGGAGTTGATAACATACTATCAGAATTTTTAAAACATGGCAGATCACATAATAACAAAATGTTTAAGACAATCTGCCTGAAAATATAGGATGAGAACACATGGCCAAAAGGAATGACCCCTATCATTAATTATTCAACAACCGGTACCTAAGAAAGGAAACTTAGACAATGCCAAAACTATAGAACAAAAAGTCTGATCAGTCATCCAAGGAAGAAAAATCTCAACATATCGGTAGCCTACTCAAGAGAAAAGCAGAGGAAGTCCTTTCTGAATAACAGGCAGGTGAGAGGCATTGTTGAACAAATATTTAACATCAGACTGTTAAATGAAAAATGCCTTCAACATCAAAAGAAAGTGATACACAACTTCATGGACTTTAAAAAAGCTCTTGACCTGGTTTTGGTATGAAGACATGTGATGAGGGAGTTCAACATAGATAAAAACATTATTGATGTTATCAAAGCCCAGTAGCAAAATGCAAATATCTCAGTATTGCTGAGCAACTAAATTGGAGAAAGTTTTAGAACATCCATAGGATTGTGGCAAGGATGCATTTTCTTTTTAACATATTTCTGGAGCATTTTATGATGGAAACTCTAGAAGGTCGGCCTATGCCAATCGTAAGTTTGCAGATAATATAGACCTCATTTGGGGAAAATGTAGATCAGTTACAAGATTTCACTTCAAAACTGGAGCTGCAACATGAAAATCAGTGCTGAAAAAAGCAAAACACTAGTTTGTGATGAGCTGGTAGGAGATGTTGCAAACAGTTAAATGGACAAACATTAGCAGAAGTTGACTCATTTAAATACCTAGGGTCAAACATAACAAGAGATGGAGAATCAATAAAACTGTTAAATCTGGAAACGTAACATCAGCTTCCAAGTAAAATTACAAAACTGGATTCTTCGTTAGAGGTCTCTGTACTCCTTTATGGTTGAGAGCAAATGCTACAGAAAAATTTTGGGGATCTAGTACCAGGAAAAGAAGAAAAATTTGTCTACTTATACAAGTGAACATCCAGGCTAGTAAAAAAAAAAGGAACTTCTTGCTAATAGATATATCCAGTCCCTTCATTTTTTGGATGGTGATGGGCAAAAGTTAACTAAAAAGTTAGAAACTTTTAGTTTAACTAAAAAAAATTAGTTAAGGCCATTGTTTAACTAAAAAAAAAAAATAGTTAAAATCGTAGTTTAATTTTTTTTAGTTACTAACTAAAAAGTTTAATTAAAATTTGTAAAACTTTTCAACATGTGGTCAGGGTTGAAACGCTCTCCCTGTTTTCTGGTCATTTGATATCAATAAATTTGATTATAAAAAAAAAATGATGCAGTTAACAACTATTTAGACAGTCTGCATTTGAAGAGGGTAAAGTAAGATCATGGGAGTAAATATTTGCACTTGAAAGTAGCAGTATTATAAAATGTTAAACATTTTTTGCCAAAAGCTTCTATGCAATATTATGAATGAGGTTGTTCCTATTTTTTTTTTATTGTGAGTCATGTGGAGGTGTTCAATTTCTGTTTATAGTGGGAATCTGATTAGCGAGTCAGTTCAAATTTTAGTGGTTTTAATCAATTCATTTGCGGCAAACAATATTTTTTTTAACTGCAGGAACATCAAGTACACCTTTTATAGTCTTAAAACTTATTATTGAGATCTATTAAGTCTAAATCAACAGCTAGGCTTATATAGAGCTAAAAGCATTAGGGTAACCAACTCTAGAAAAAAATCTTAATCCACACCCTCTCTGACCATAAAGTGAATAGACTGTGTCCAACTGGTCAGCTAGACATACACATGACCACATGTAGGCCTAGTGTACTGTACGTGTGTAGTCGATAATACTGTAAGACTACCCTGCATTAAGCGTTATACAATAGTGTTTGCTTAATGTGGAGAGGTCAGACAAGAAAATAACACACTGGCGTGGCTAGTCAAGCATGTTCGTAGATATATCTTTACACTAAAATAGTAAATAGTGTGTCCGACTGATTTTAACAACCTGGCCAGATAGACTTAGGGCCTACACGTGTAGGTCTATATAGTGTACTGATTATGCAGTCCATAATGTCAAGATCACCCAGTTTTTTTTCCCCTGCGCGTTTAAGGGTTATGCAATAGTGTTAGTTGTATTTTTAGTGGTCAGACAAGAAAATAGCACATAGGCATGGTTAGTCAAGCATGTATTTTACCGGCGCCTTCGACATTCGTCACGGAGGTCACGATTTTACACTATATACAGGTCAAATGTTTTTAAAACTCCAACGATTTCGTTTCTATTTCTTTCGATACTAGATCTAAATTAGAAATTTTAAATAGATTTATGTTACTTAATGAAATTTTAAACTTTACCAGTATAAGTAAGATTTTCCGTTATATAATAAGTTAATATAATTTGTTTAAAAAGGGTACCATTATTTTCTAAAGGTTTTAATTCAAGGCAAAAATACAAGCACACATATTTATTGAGACATTTTATTTTATTGTGCATTAACGTTTATGTAAGAAACATATTCCTATATACTGATTTTATTATAGATAAATATTACTAGAATGTTAAAAGAATAAGATCGAACCGTAGGCATACAGTCGGATGATTATATCTATTTGAGCTGGCGCTCCTAGATCTAATTTTTGACCAGGTCTATGATATTTGTAATTTAGTGTCCTTTTTTATTTTTATAGTTCAGTGCTGAGTATTTTTTTAGTTTCCGCTATTTATAACCTTCTGCTAGTTTTAGTCTTTTTCTGTTATTTGTGTTTTACTCGTAGAGGAAAAGTAGTTTTTAAAATAGTTAACTAGCCTTAGAGCTGTGGATGTTATTTCCTATTTTTTGTCCCTGGTCAGTTCTGCTTATTTTTGTCTTTGGCATTAGCGTTGGATTAGTTGTTATTTTTTTATATCAGTTTATGTGCAAGTCTGTAAACGGTACAGAGCCCCCATATGAGTTTAGAATATAAATAACTTTTTATCTTTCTTTTTGTATTTTTGTACATTTAAATTTTAAGATTCTCTTTTTAATGCAGTTTAATTTGGTATATAATGTTGTGTAGTCCGTGTCTTAAGTAATTTGCTAGATTTTATGGTTGTGTAAGGCTAGGTACAAATTAGGGAAATAGGTAGTCCAGTTTAGGTTTAGATAATTAGCGTGACGTCATGCTCTCCGATACGTTCGCGCTGACCAGTTATAGCTAGCTCCGGGACCACGTTGAGCTCTGTTTTGTTTTGACCAGTGGTCAGTGCTGACAGTGGGGCCTGTGTAAAGTTATTTTTGTGTAGTGTAATTTCAGCTGGGACCGCCTGCTATAATTCCTGTCTAGCTGTCTTACTGCCTTAAGGCCTATCTGCCTTAACGGCCTAACTGCCTTATTTCGGCTGTAGTTCTGCTGCTAGTAGTTTAGTGTTGGGGTAATTTAGGTTATTTGGTGGTCGGTTTAGTTAGTAATAGTTGTAGATTTAGCAACATAGATCCAGAGGCGGCAGAGGGTTTTGGTTAGTGGAGTTGTTAAGTTCAGTTAAGTAGGGTTGATTAATTATTTAGTAGTGCGTATATAGTTTTTGTTTATGTCTATGTTTATTTTCGTATTCACCTATATTTTTATTGCTTTGTAAGTTTGTTGTAAATAAAGTGTATACAAGTTTGTTTTATAATTGTAGTTGGTTATTTTATCTTTAGTTAGCTAGTTTAGCTTAGTTTAAGTGTGCTGTCTGGTTGCTTAGGCTATTATAGCCCCTTGGACACCATACCGAGGTGCACAGATTGGGCCCACCCAGTAGAGCTACCATCTGCCTACTGTTTTAAAAATGAACAAATGTTGAGCAGCAGCAAGTAACAAAAAGGGCCTCGCTCATTAGCGCCACCCTGACCTGCTCACACTATATAGGCAGGGCCGCCTGCGTGCGAAATTTTAAAATGCCGCGCCCCCCCCCCTTTTTTTTTTGTTTCTAGAAAATGAAATTCATTAGACTGGGCTGGACAAAAGCGTCCTTTGATTTAAATCCATTTTTGTAGACCGTTATTTTCCTATTCGCTCCGTTGTCGTATCACCCATGCCCTCTCAGATGTTTTATTTCCAATTGTAACTTTGATTTTGTTCTACGATGTCACAAAGTCCTTCTCCAGAGTCAAGTTGTCTAAGTAATTGAGCGAAACCGCAGAAAATTTTCATGTATTTCAACATTAGGTTAGAAGGACCATAAAATGCAGAATAAATTCCTTGAAATATAAAAGTCATAGATAGCGAATCTATTTCTTTTTCCGTATTTTTGTATAATCATCATCACGATTGTATTTTGGAGAGACGTGCATTGTCTCCACAATCATCTGACATACGCAGATTCGGAAGTGCGTACAAATTTATCCAATACACCACCAGGACAAAATGAAGCAACACAGCGCTGAATATTTTGCGTTAATACAAAATAAATAATCCAAAGAACAAGTTACTTATACAATGATTTGAAATAAAAGGCAGTGTTTCTCGGACATTGCCGGGTGCGACCCCACATGACAAAATTATCGCTCGAGCCTTTCTTAGAAGCTGGGGATCTAGAGC